ACTTTACTGTTTGTGTTGGAAAAATTTCAACATTTTCATTAAAGGTTTTAATTTTTATTTTTTTTTTTTATTTAAAGTTTTTATGTGGTTTGTTTTCTTTTTTTCCTCACGTTAATGTTTGAATTTGTTGCTTTATGTTGTTGTTTTAAAAATGATGATGATGTTGTTGATGTTGTAGTAATATGTGGCAAGGTTGATTGATGGTATTAATGCTGTTTTACTATTTTAATATGATTGATACCAATGTACGTATGTATGTATATTTAGCTATTATGTATGTATGTTCAAAGTAGAACTTTATTTTCAGTTTCAAATGGAAATATTCCACTTTAATTTTTTTAATATTTGTTTTTTTTTTTTCAAAAATTTTTTAATGAAGTAATGATGGATGTATTTGTATATTAATATAAAAGTAAAGCAAAAGTTAAAGTTGTGGAGAAACTGGATCTGTACTTAAGAAAAACTAGAACAGAACTAGAATAGAACTAGAACAGAACTAGAACAGAACTAGAACAGAACTAGAACAGAACTAGAACAGAACTAGAACAGAACTAGAACAAAACTAGAACAGAACTAGAACAGAACTAGAACAGAACTAGAACAGAACTAGAACAGAACTAGAACAGAACTAGAACAGAACTAGAACAGAACTAGAACAGAACTAGAACAGAACTAGAACAGAACTAGAACAGAACTAGAACAGAACTAGAACAGAACTAGAACAGAACTAGAACAGAACTAGAACAGAACTAGAACAGAACTAGAACAGAACTAGAACAGAACTAGAACAGAACTAGAACAGAACTAGAAAGAACTAGAACAGAACTAGAACAGAACCAGAGCAGAACCAGAGCTGAACCAGAGCAGAACTAGAACAGAACTAGAACAGAACTAGAACAGAACTAGAACAGAACTAGAACAGAACTAGAACAGAACTAGAACAGAACTAGAACAGAACTAGAACAGAACTAGAACAGAACTAGAACTGAACTAGAACTGAACTAGAACTGAACTAGAACTGAACTAGAACAGAACTAGAACAGAACTAGAACAGAACTAGAACAGAACTAGAACAGAACTAGAACAGAACTAGAACAGAACTAGAACAGAACTAGAACAGAACTAGAACAGAACTAGAACAGAACTAGAACAGAACTAGAACAGAACTAGAACAGAACTAGAACAGAACTAGAACAGAACTAGAACAGAACTAGAACAGAACTAGAACAGAACTAGAACTGAACTAGAACTGAACTAGAACTGAACTAGAACTGAACTAGAACTGAACTAGAACTGAACTAGAACTGAACTAGAACTGAACTAGAACTGAACTAGTACTTGAACTAGAACTTGAACGAGAACTAGAACTAGAACTGAACTAGAACTGAACTAGAACTGAACTAGAACTGAACTAGAACTGAACTAGAACTGAACTAGAGCTGAACTAGAACTGAACTAGAACTGAACTAGTATCATCATTCTTCCTTCCGTAACTCTGACTTCACTTTTATACCTTCTTCCGTTTCCTTTTCTTTTTACTTTTCCTTCTGCTGTCCGTCTTGTATAATAATTTTCTGTTTATGTTTGTTGTAGTTTATTTTGTTTATAAAAGTTTTATGTTTTTTTGGTAATTATATTATTATTGGAAAATTATTTTGTATACTTTTTTTTCTTCGTATTTAATTTAGTTTTCTGTTTTAATTGCTTTCACTATCAATTACAATTCAAGTTTTTTTACTATTTTATTTTAATATTAAGTTAATGTAGTATCAATTATTATTTTTATTAATTTAAATTTAATTATTTATGTTTCCATAACAGTACGTTAACCATCGTTTACAGAGATACCTTAACCCTACTTTTTTTGCTTGTTTGTTTTTATTTTTTTTTTTGATGCTAAAATTTAATGGCTGGTATTTTTCTTTTTATTTTGTTAAAGTTTGTTGATTAATGATGTTTAATGTTCTAATTTTATCATAAATATTGATAAAAATGTTGTTTATTGTGATTAAATATGATTTAAAAAGTTCTACATGTATAAGTAAATATGATTAAGGAGTAGATGTTGATGTCTTTTAAACCTCTAACTGTGATTACCCCTAATGTATAGAGATTAGTAATGTATGTTTGTATGTATGTATGGCTATATTGTATAATGCTTGTTTAATATTAATGTCTGTATTTATTTCTCTTTTATTTCATTTAAATGCTTTTTTGGTTTATAGTAAAATTGGTAATAAAATCATAAAATTATGTTTAATTTCTTAACATTTCAAAATTCTTTAGTTTAGTATCAGCAAAACGCTCTTCTCAAAACACATATCATTTAACAAATCATGCAAATACGAACTTTAAATGGTTACATTGCACTGCAGTGTTTAAAAAGGAGAAATATAATTTTCATAAGTCGATAGAGTGGCTATAGTGTAACTGTAGCCAGTCTGGACTACAGTGAGACTATAGTTTGTATTCTAGTGAGACTAAAGTCTGGACTAAAGTGACACTATAGTCTGAACTATAGTGACACCATAGTCTGGACTATAATGAGACCTCAGTCTGAACTATAGTAAGGCTATAGTAAGGGATATAGTGACACCATAGTCTGGATTATAGAGATACTATAGTCTGGACTATAGAGAAACTATAGTCTGGACTATAGAGAGACTACAGTCTGTACTATAGAGAGACTATATTCTGGACTATAGAGAGACCATAGTCGGGACTATAGAGAGACTGTAATCTGGACTATAGAGAGACTATAGTCTGGACTATAGAGAGACTGTAATCTGGACTATAGAGAGACTATAGTCTGGACTATAGAGAAACTATAGTCTGGACTATAGAGAGACTACAGTCTGTACTATAGAGATACTATATTCTGGATTATAGAGATACTATAGTCTGGACTATAGAGAAACTATAGTCTGGACTATAGAGAGACTACAGTCTGTACTATAGAGAGACTATATTCTGGACTATAGAGAGACCATAGTCTGGACTATAGAGAGACTATAATCTGGACTATAGAAAGATTAGAGTGTAGACTATAGAGCGACTATAGTTTGGACAATAGTGAGATTATTGTCTGGATTATAGTAAGACTACAGTCTGGACTATATTGATGCTACAGTCTCGGTAATAGTGAGACTATAGTCTGGGCTATAGCGAGACTATTGTTTATACTATAGTGAGACTAAAGTCTAGGCTATAGAGAGACTATAGTGTGGTCTATAGTGACACCATATTCAGGAAAATAGTGACACTATAGTCTGAACTATAATGAGGCTATAGTCTGGATTATAGAGAGACTAAAGTCTGGTTTATAGAGAGACTATAGTCTGGACTATAGTGAGACTACATTCTGGTCCATAGTGACACTATATTCTGGACTATAGTTACATTATAGTCTGGACGATTCAGCCTGGACTATAGTGAGACTACATTCTGGATTATAGGGAGACTAGAGTCTGAACAATAGCGAGACTATTGTTGTACTAAAGTGAGACTATAGTCTGGACTAAAATGACACTATAGTCTGAACTATCGAGACACCATAGTCCGGACTATAATATGATATCAGTCTGAACTATAGTTAAACTATAGTCTGGACTATAGTGAGACTATATAGAGACTATAATGCGACTATAGTCTGAACTAAAGTGAGACTATAGACTGGGCTATAGTGAGACTATCGTCTGGACTATAGTGAGACTATAGTATGTACTGTAGTGAGGCTATAGTCCGGACTATAGTGAGACTACAGTCTAGACTATAGCGAGACTATAGTTTTTAATATAGTAGGACCAAAGTCTGGACTAAAGTGACGCTATAGTCTGGGCTATTATATGACTATAGTCCGGGCTATAGTCTGGACTATAGTATGACTACAGTCTGGACTATAGTATGACTATAGTCTGGACTATAGTCTAGACTATAGTATGACTATAGTATGACTATAGTCTGGTCTATAGTATGACTATTGTCTGGACTATAGTTTGACTATAGTCTGGACAATAGTATGACTATAGTCGGGACAATAGTATGACTATAATCTGGACTATAGTCTGGCCTATAGTCTGGACTATAGTCTGGTCTATAGTATGACTATTGTCTGGACTATAGTTTGACTATAGTCTGGACTATAGTATGACTATAGTCTGGATTATAGTCTGGACTATAGTCTGGACTATAGTCTGGACTATAGTCTGTACTATAGTCTAGACTATAGTCTGGATTATAGTCTGGATTATAGTCTGGACTATAGTCTGGACTATAATCTGGACTAAAGTCTGGACTAAAGTCTGGACTATAATCTGGACTATAGTCTGGACTGTAGTCTGGACTATAGGCTGGACTATAGGCTGGCCTATAGTATGAGTATAGGCTGGACTATAGTATGACTATAGTCTGGACTATAGTACGACTATAGTCTGGACTATAGTATGACTATAGTCTGGACTATAGTCTGGCCTATAATCAGGCCTATAATCTGGACTATAGTATGACTATAGGCTGGACTGTAGTATGACTATAGGCTGGACTATAGTCTAGTCTACAGTCTTTACTATAGTCTGGCCTATAATCTGGACAATAGTATGACTATAGGCTGGACTATAGTCTAGTCTACAGTTCTACAGTCTTTACTATAGTCTGGCCTATAATCTGGACAATAGTATGACTATAGGCTGGACTATAGCCTAGACTACAGTCTGGACTATAGTATGACTATAGTCTGGACTATAGTATTACTATAGTCTGGACAATAGTATGACTATAGTCTGGGCAATGGTATGACTATAGTCTAGACTATAGTATGACTATAATCTGGACTATAGTATGACTGTAGTCTGGACTATAGTATGGCTATAGTCTGGACAATAGTATGACTATAGTCTGGACTATAGTATGACTATAGTCTGGACTATAGTATGACTATAGTCTGGACTATAGTATGACTATAGTCTGGACTATAGTATGACTATAGTCTGGACTATAGTATGACTTTAGTCTGGACTATAATATGACTATAGTCTGTTCTATAGTATGATTATAGTTTGCACTATAGTATGACTAAAGTCTAGACTATAGTAAGACTATAGTCATGACTATTGAAAGACTATAATCTGGACTATAGTAAGACTATAGTTAGAACTATACTGAGACCATAGTCAGTGATACTGTAGTCAGTTTTCTGACTTGTATAAAATGACTTCATATGCTTTCGCTCAACTTTTGACCAAATTTCAAACTCCTTTTAAACACTGTATCTATAACTCCCACTTGCTCTTCAAAATCTCTACATAACTCAAGTTTTGGGTACAAAAAGATCAAAAACTAATTTGTTGTCAAATTTAAGCGTTTCTTTTATAAATGTTTTAAATTCTATAACTAATTTCAATTTTTTTGTAAAACATTTAAGTGTTTTTTTATGTTTAGTTGTTGTTTTTTTTCTGTTAATTTAATACTATTAAATTGTAAGTGCTAAATTCTTTTATATTATTTTCTAAAGACATTTAAATTTAATGTTTTGTTTTTTATACTTTAAATCTTACACAAATTTTTGTATTAATATTAATTCGTTAGATTTGCTATAAAAATCAAAAGAAAACGTATCATCATTTTAGCACAAAAATTCAAACTCAAACCCTTCACCATTTTTTAAAAAAATATTTTTTTTTTGTTGTTTTGTTTTGTTCTTTAACCTTTTTCCTTACATAAACGTGTATTATTTTGTAAATTTCAAGTGATACTTGCAAAAATCGGTAGTCATATGTCTGGGGTTTTTGTGTTTCCTGTATTTGTTGCAGTTGTTGTAATGTTGTCATTCTGTTGTTGTAAATTGGTATCGGTAACAACAATTGTTATTGTTTGCTCCTGGTATTGTTGCTGTTGTTTGTCAGTGTTTGTTTGCACTTGTTCGATTGTCTTCGTAATGTTGGTTTGTTGTTGCTGATGGTGCTGCTGCTGTTGTTGCTGTTGTTGCATGTTATTGTGATTGTGTATTTCATCATTCAATTGCCTTCGTATTTCAGCATCAATGGCTTCGGCATCCTCCGGATAGCGTTCCGAACAGAATATGGCTCCATCTTTTAAAAGCTTTAACAGGTTAATTCTGTCCTCAGCGGTTCGCTTTGCACACAATGGTCTAATGGTTTAGGAGTAGAATGAAAATAGAGGGAAAATAAAGAAATTAAGAAAAAGTTGAATATTAATAAAGAACTTTAGTTTTATATAAGAAAGCTTTAACATATAAAAAAGCTCAGAACTTGAAACATAAAACGACATAAACAAAATGGAAGTTGTATTTTTAGTTTCACAAGCTTTCGTAAACCCAATTAAAGACAGCTTTTAATTAACTTTAATTTAAAAGCTTTTATAACATGAAAGTAATTTAGCTGTTAAAGCTCTTGCAAGTCTCGTGAAACTTTTAAAATATTCTAACAACTTTTTAAAGCCTTTTGGAACCTTGAAAGATTTTGAGAAATTTTAAAGCTTTTTAGAGCTTTGAAAACATTATAAAACTTTGAAATCATACATTTTGTTTTTACAAAAAAAGTTAAATTTTTATTTATTTAAATTATTTATTATTTTAAAATTCATTTAACATGTTTTCATTTCATTTGTCGGCGCGGATGTTTAATTAACGATCACATCACTTCAACATTTTGCCATTTAAATAAATAATATTATATAGAACACATATTTTTTTATGATTAATTTATGGATTTTAATGCATAAATTGTGTATGTGTGTTGTTAGTCATATTTTAAAAACACATACAACATCCATCAGTCAACAACCATATATACAATCAACCATTTCGTATCTTTGCATAATAAACAAAAATATTGTACAACTTTTTTTCAACTCAAGAATATAAATAACATTTTCAAACATGCTATGAATGGCAACAAAAAAATCGTATTACAGAAATATAGTAAAATTAAAAGGAATATATGATAAAGATAGTCTAAGAGAGAGAGAAAGTCTATAGTTTAGTTTATAGTCTAGTCTATAGTTTAGTTTATAGTCTAGTCTATAGTCTAGTCTATAGTCTAGTCTATAGTCTAGTCTATAGCCTAGTATATAGTCTATAGTCTAGTCTATAGTCTAGTCTATAGTCTAGTCTATAGTCTAGTCTATAGTCTAGTCTATAGTCTAGTCTATAGTCTAGTCTATAGTCTAGTCTATAGTCTAGTCTATAGTCTAGTCTATAGTCTAGTCTATAGTCTAGTCTATAGTCTAGTCTATAGTCTAGTCTATAGTCTAGTCTATAGTCTAGTCTATAGTCTAGTCTATAGTCTAGTCTATAGTCTAGTCTATAGTCTAGTCTATAGTCTAGTCTATAGTCTAGTCTATAGTCTAGTCTATAGTCTAGTCTATAGTCTAGTCTATAGTCTAGTCTATAGTCTAGTCTATAGTCTAGTCTATAGTCTATAGTCTCTAGTCTAGTCTATAGTCTAGTCTATAGTCTAGTCTATAGTCTAGTCTATAGTCTAGTCTATAGTCTAGTCTATAGTCTAGTCTATAGTCTAGTCTATAGTCTAGTCTATAGTCTAGTCTATAGCCTAGTCTATAGTCTAGTCTATAGTCTAGTCTATAGTCTAGTCTATAGTCTAGTCTATAGTCTAGTCTATAGTCTAGTCTATAGTCTAGTCTATAGTCTAGTCTATAGTCTAGTCTATAGTCTAGTCTATAGTCTAGTCTATAGTCTAGTCTATAGTCTAGTCTATAGTCTAGTCTATACTCTAGTCTATAGTCTAGTCTATAGTCTAGTCTATAGTCTAGTCTATAGTCTAGTCTATAGTCTAGTCTATAGTCTAGTCTATAGTCTAGGCTATAGTCTAGTCTATAGTCTAGTCTATAGTCTAGGCTAATAGTCTAGTCTATAGTCTAGTCTACAGTCTAGTCTATAGTCTAGTCCTATAGTCTAGTTCTATAGTCTAGTCTATAGTCTAGTCTACGTCTAGTCTATAGTCAGTCTATAGTCTAGTCTATAGTCTAGTCTATAGTCTAGTCTATAGTCTAGTCTATAGTCTAGTCTATAGTTCTAGTCTATAGTCTAGTCTAATAGTCTAGTCTATAGTCTAGTCTATAGTCTAGTCTATAGTCTAGTCTATAGTCTAGTCCTATAGTCTAGTCTATAGTCTAGTCTATAGTCTAGCTCTATAGTCTAGTCTATAGTCTAGTCGATAGTCTGTCTTAGTCTAGTCTATAGTCTAGTCTATAGTCTAGTCTATAGTCTAGTCTATGTCTAGTCCTATAGTCCTAGTCTATAGTCTAGTCCTATAGTCTAGTCTATCGTCTAGTCTATAGTCTAGTCCTATAGTCTAGTCTATAGTCTAGTCTATAGTCTAGTCTATAGTCTAGTCTATAGTCTAGTCTATAGTCTAGTCTATAGTCTAGTCTATAGTCTAGTCTATAGTCTAGTCTATAGTCTAGTCTATAGTCTAGTCTATAGTCTAGTCTATAGTCTAGTCTATAGTCTAGTCTATAGTCTAGTCTATAGTCTAGTCTATAGTCTAGTCTATAGTCTAGTCTATAGTCTAGTCTATAGTCTAGTCTATAGTCTAGTCTACAGTCTAGTCTATAGTCTAGTCTATAGTCTAGTCTATAGTCTAGTTTACACTCAACTCTATAATATACATATTTTATAGTCTAGTCTATAGCCTAGCTACTATTATAATATACAGTCTATATTACCTACAGTAGTGATCTTTAACATTCAAAAACAAAAAGAAAAGGAAGCGAAACATTTAACTGATTCATTTAAATCCATTCAGTAGAGAACAAAATTATGCCATTAATTTGTTTACAACTGTTTTCCGGTGAAAAGAAACATTTTTTATTATTCTGAACAATATAAAGCAAAAGGGGACCATTTACAGACACATACACTCATATGAAAATAAACAGCCATAGTTTATGAAAGAGAAAAACATAACGTTTTGCCAACAACTACATATTTTAAGTATGAAAATTTTACTGCATACTTTTAAGCGTAAAATAGCGAGTGGTGGTGTTGGTGTTCTGGATATTTTCTCTACATAAATTAAATTGCAACAATTATTTTTATTTTATTTCTTCTTTTTTCATATACATTTAATTAATGTTTCAAAATGTTTATTTGAAAAAATGGCATATTAAATGTAAAATGCTTTATTAAATGTACCTTTTTATAAACGAAACGAAATTGTATAAAATTTATAAAAAAAAACTGTCAAAGTCGCAAATGGATTTACAAAAAAAGTTTTAGTGAAAAGAGATAAAAAAACTCTTTTTAAACGTCCTTTTTTCAATAACTACATGGAATTTTAATAAAGCATAAATGGAGGGGCAGTTGTAAAAGAAAAATACTGCATATTTTAGGGATTAAATAAACTAGTAAGTAAGTGTCTTAAGTTAAGTCTACAATAACAAAAACAAAAAATATAACACCAACAATAATAGTAAATAACAATAATAACATTAAGAAAACAACATTGAGACATAGATGTGTGATAGTTATACAAAACGGGGGATGATAACCACATCCACATCTGGGCCTCTCCCCCTAACCTGCCTGAATCCTTAAGCTGTTCCATAAAATCTTTGCCCGTTATATCCACCAATGAATTCGGATCCATATTCGACAGAGAATCCAAATCGGGATCACTCATAACCGAAACATTGCAAAGATTATTCTGCAGCTGTCCAACCAATTGCTTAATGCGTGCCGTTTTTTCAGCCTTATCGGCAGCATCAGTTTGGTCGTGCGGTGTGGTAATGGTGACATAGTGGGAGGGCTAAAAAGATATAGAAGTGGGAAAATAGAAATTTGTAAGTAATAAAATTTAATGGAATATTTAATGTAATATTTTATTTAAATTTTATATTTGTTTTGTTTTGTTTTTCTCTAGTTTTTTTTTCATTTCATATCTCTAAATTGCATTTCAATGTTAGTTTCCATTTTAAATTGTTATAAATGTATTATGAACTCTAAGGGGTGTATTATTTTACATAAACATTTATTTTGGCCTTAAAACTTGAAACCAAAAACATAACAAATATTTTCAGGAGTCTTTTGCCACTGTTTACATTATGTGGGTAGAAAATTTAAAAGCTTAGTAAAAGACTACTAGATACAGTGGGACAAAGAAGAGTAAAACAATAGACTATAGACTAGACTATAGACTAGACTATAGACTAGACTATAACTAGACTATAGACTAGACTATAGACTAGACTATAGACTAGACTATAGACTAGACTATAGACTAGACTATAGACTAGACTATAGACTAGACTATAGACTAGACTATAGACTAGACTATAGACTAGACTATAGACTAGACTATAGACTAGACTATAGACTAGACTATAGACTAGACTATAGACTAGACTATAGACTAGACTATAGACTAGACTATAGACTAGACTATAGACTAGACTATAGACTAGACTATAGACTAGACTATAGACTAGACTATAGACTAGACTATAGACTAATCTATAGACTAGACTATAGACTAGACTATAGACTAGACTATAGACTAGACTATAGACTAGACTATAGCTACTATAGACTATAGACTAGACTATAGACTAGACTATAGACTAGACTATAGACTAGACTATAGACTAGACTATAGACTAGACTATAGACTAGACTATAGACTAATCTATAGACTAGACTATAGACTAGACTATAGACTAGACTATAGACTAGACTATAGACTAGACTATAGACTAGACTATAGACTAGACTATAGACTAGACTATAGACTAGACTATAGACTAGACTATAGACTAGACTATAGACTAGACTATAGACTAGACTAGACTAGACTATAGACTAGACTATGACTACTTAGACTAGACTATAGACTAGACTATAGACTAGACTATAGACTAGACTATAGACTAGACTATAGACTAGACTATAGACTAGAATAGAGACTAGACTATAGACTACTATAGACTAGACTATAGACTAGACTATAGACTAGACTATAGACTAGACTATAGACTAGACTATAGACTAGACTATAGACTAGACTATAGACTAGACTATAGACTAGACTATAGACTAGACTATAGACTAGACTATAGACTAGACTATAGACTAGACTATAGACTAGACTATAGACTAGACTATAGACTAGACTATAGACTAGACTATAGACTAGACTATAGACTAGACTATAGACTAGACTATAGACTAGACTATAGACTAGACTATAGACTAGACTAGACTAGACTATAGACTAGACTATAGACTAGACTATAGACTAGACTATAGACTAGACTATAGACTAGACTATAGACTAGACTATAGACTAGACTATAGACTAGACTATAGACTAGACTATAGACTAGACTATAGACTAGACTATAGACTAGACTATAGACTAGACTATAGACTAGACTATAGACTAGACTATAGACTAGACTATAGACTAGACTATAGACTAGACTATAGACTAGACTATGACT